TTGGTGACTTCCCTGTTCCTAAATCTAATGGTCAGTCCTACGTCTTCATTTGTGTTAACCTGTTACCAGCATCAGCACAGTACAGCACTCTTTCCTTAATGACATTCAGGATCCCGAGTCTCAGGTTTCCTCCTACTTTAGTGCATGCTCCTTCTGTCTTTGGTGGTTTCTCTTCTCCTTGACACCCTAACATTACAATGTGCCAGGGCTTAGTCAAAAGCCCACTTTTTTTTTTTTTTTTGACTGCCTGACTGTTATTCCATGTACCTGATTAACATCTCCACTTAGATATCCAATATACATTTCAAAGTTAACATGTTTAAAACTGAATGTCTGATCTTCCCTTTAACCTTAGAATCTTCGTGTAGTCAGTCTTTTTATCCTTCCCATTGTTGAAATCCAAAAACTTGGATTCTGGCTTCAAAATATATCAAGAATCAAACCTCTTTTTGCCACCTTCCCTCACTGGTAACACCTGTCCAAGTCACTATCGTCTCTCATATGGAAAATTGTAAAACTGGTTTCCCTTGCTTCCATACATGTTCCCCCTATGGGTTTTTCTCAAAACAGCAGTCAGCACAGTCCTTTTAAAATATATCATACAATTTCATTCCTTTGCTCTAAACAATTCCATGAACTCCCCTTTTCACTCAGAATAAAAGCCACAGTCTATATAGCAACCCTCTGTGATCTAGCCCTGCAGTGCCTATCTCTTATTTCATTTCCTACTACTTGATTTCTCTTTCCACTCCAGCCATCTTGACCTCTTGTTCTTCTTGAACATGCCAGACATACACTCAGTGTAGGCCCTTTGCATGCATTATTCTCTCTGCCAGGAAAAGTTCTTACAAATACTCTTTTACCTCCTTCACGTGGTTGATCAAATATCTTCTTCTCAGTGAGGCCTAATAATCATTTTGAAATTCAAACCTATCTGCTCCTCCCCAAACTTCCCCCTTAATATTTTTCTATAATAATGTCAAGTTTTAGTATATACATAGTAATATGAGACATAGCGTTTGTTGTCTGTGCCCTACCTCCTCATCCCCCACCCATTAGAATACAAGTTTCATGAATACAGGGGTTTTTGTTTCACTGAGATGTATCCCAAAAGCCCAGAACAGTGGCTGGTATGTAGTAGGCATTCAGTAAGTGTTCACTGAATGAATGAATGGTTTCATGACTCACTAATGGTTGAAACCCATTTTGAAAACTCATTTTGAAACATGCTGGTCTAGTGGCTAGACTCAATCCTTAATTTTCTATTTGGGTGCTATTACAAAAAACTTTGAGGGATAAATTAAAATTTTCATTTTTTAGTTTTCAGTTTTGTTCAATTAGGTTTGGTTTGTCCAAAGTGGAGTCACTCTAATAATAACCTAAGTGAAAACATAACATTGCTTTTTGATATTACCATTCGTGTTCTATAACTTTGAAAGCCAGTCATCTACTGCTAACAGTTTGTACTTCTAGATTTTTTTCTAGGCACCAACAGGTATTAAATCATACTGGATGGGATGTTCTACAACTTGCATTTTTTTGGTTTTGAAATTTGGTTCATTTTTGTTGTGGTAGTTATTTGTTTTGTACCTAATATCCTACCATGGACACTGTGTCTTGAAATGTGGTGCAGCATGGTTGGTAAGAGCATGGATGCCAAGCCAGACTTGGTTCTAATCCAGTCAAATTACCAAATTGGCAATTGCCAGTTACCAGACTCTAGACAGGTTACTTAAGTTTTCTGTGTCTCTGTTCCTCATCTCTTAATGTGGCAATAATAATAACTCATCATATAGTGTAGTAGAGATCAAATTCTGCCAAATACACATGTGCATATATGTTAACTGTCATCACTAGTACTATGTCATTGTTTATCACAGCTACATTATATCTCGTTTTGAAAATGTAACATTTTATTTAATCAGTCCCTTGTTTGATATGTATTTGGGTTGTTTCTAATTCTTCACTGTTACAGTAATCACCAAGGGTAAATGTTCTCGTACATTTGTGTAATTTTCACAAAAATAAATACACATTTAATAGACTTTTGGGGTCTAAAATATAAACACTTTTTCCAACGTACACTTGTGCCAACAGTGTATCAGTATTTGTTTCCCCACACTCATGCTGATGCTGGATATTATTAGGCTTAAATATCATTATTTTCTTCTAGTATTTTATAATTGATGGACTAGTTCTTTCTCCTATCCCCATGCCATACTCACATCTTTATTCTGTCTGAAATAATATTTAGGTAATGATCTATTATTCTCAAACTATTTCCATCTCTTCCCCAGTAATTAGAAGTATTACCTTGTATTATGTACCAAACTCCTATATATTCCTCGATCTCTTTGTAGACTTATTCTCATTATTGACCTGTCCATTCCTATAAAGTGCCATCTGATTTTAATCACTGCAGCTTATACTTTTTAATATATTAATAGCCCCACTGTACACAGTCAAGTATGTACACATTATTCCTCTTTTTAAGTAACAGTTATTTTTCCATATAAATTTTAGGATAATTTTATTGGGGTTTAAACAAATACTCACTGGACTTTTGTTTCAAAAAGTGTAAAAAGTATAGACTTATTTGGAATGAATTTGTATCTTTAAAACTTTAAAATGTCTATTCACTTATTCAGGGTTTTCTTTTTTTGATATGTCTTACATATTTGCTATAAAGTATATTGCTTTGTTTTCTATAGTTTTTGTTGCCATTTTGAATATGTTCTTTTTTTCCATTACATAGTTTAATATAAGATGGATTACATGTACGTGTAAGGTGTCAACACAGGTGTATGTGTATACATGTCTTACATCCACACATCCTTCATACTCTTTAATACTTATGCAGTTCTTTTAGATTTTCCAATCTTATAGTCACATCATATGCAAATAATAAATTTCATCTTCCTTTGTAATGTTTGCACCACTTCTTTTTTCTTTCCTTTTTTTTTTTTTTTTTTGCACCACTTCCTTTTTCTTAATTTGTTGTAGCGACTGGACTGTAGAATGATATTAAATAATAGTGATGATAGCAGGCATATGTTGATTCTGTGTATATATAATTTAATTGAAAAAATTTAATGATTTTATAGGGTTGGTCACATTATTAGCTCTACTTCAAGACTTGTTTTATATTAAACTGGAGAGTACTTGGGAAAGTGTAAGATCTTTTGCTCTTCTGGAAACAAGAACATTACCTTTGGCTAATAAGAAAAAGAGTGATAACTCTCTGAATTCCTGGACGTTTACATCTGAAGTGAAGGATCTACCCCCTCCAACAAATGTCATGTTAAAAGTTATGACTAATAAAGTTTGATTTCAAAATTATATGACATAATGACATTTTTTTCCCTTATATCCTGAAAGTCAATAATAGGCGGGGCTTTGTCTCTGTCAATACTCAGTTTTGTAAGCTGCATCTAGATAGATGCCCAGAAGGGCTGCCTGCAGCCTGGTACGCTTTTTCTCAGGGTGCTGCTGATGTGAGTTACCAGCTTCTGCCCCGCGAGCAAGCCATTGTCAGTGTTTCCTCGGACCCTGGAGATGCTGGTCGTGGCTATTTGAATAGGGCTAACGTTTGTCAGGTATAACAGATTGTTCAAATGTATCTGACTTTGAGTTTAACTCTTTTAAGTTTAACTTCATCTGGGCAATAGAAAGTCAGACATTTTAAGTAATGTCAAATGTAATCAAGAATTAAATGTGTTGGTTTAATTTTCTTTGACCTCTAGCTGCCTTTCATTCACAGAAAAATATTACTAATACTTCAGATAATTATTGTTATAGAAGGAGGAAGATTTTATATTTTTTCTAGGCAAAAGTTTACTTTTGTCCACTCCTACCAGTTTCTGTATTTATCAGTTGTATGACAATTTTTTATTTTTTGGTTGGGGTTTAAATTTAGTTGAAGTAACCAGCTTAATTGCTCAGTAGTCTTAGTCTACTTAGCTTTATATCTTTTTCTGACTTAGTAATATTAGTATTTTTCCCAGATTTTTTATTATGAAAAATGTCAAACATAAGGTAGTTATCTTGCAGAATAGCCTAAATTTTGGATTTGTCTGAGTCCTTCATGATTAATACAAGAACTTTTAATCATAGTAGTCTTCAGTTTTTAGGTCCATTTGCTGAAAATAATTTTTATACTTGTGTCATGGCACTTAATAATTACTAATATTGACCTAATTCCATTTCATTCTGTTACTGAATATGATCTTAGTAGAGAGATCCTATAAGTAAGGGTTCTGAGAATGGGATCCTAATTTTTAGAAGATCTGTGTTGTCTCTGTTTCTAACAGATTTCTTCTGTGGCCTTGAATGCATTATACAACCATTCCACCTGTGCTATATAAAACACACAGAATTGCTTACCTTTTAAAACAATTTAGTGGATTTAATGACTGATGTTTATAAAGCCCATAGAATATGTTAAAATATAGCTAAGATGGTAATAGAGAAATGATTATGATATTTTTTGGTCCTTTCAAATAAGCTTTCATTTAGTTTAAGTGTTGTATCTTCAGCAGACATTTCTGTCTCAGATCTGAAGCAAAGGGACACTAACCTTAAATGCCTACCTACTGTGTGGTAAGCATTGGGCTAGAGTCTTCAAATGCATCTCCTCATTTAATTTTTAAGCCTCCATCTAACCTGTGAAATACATGAATTCTTATTTCCATTTTATAGACCAGGAAACCCAGGGTCAGAGTGGTTTGGTAACTTGCTGTGTACTATAAACCTAGTAAGTGCTGCAATCAGGCTGTGAGCCTGGAGCTTTGTACATTTGTGAGTTGAGCTTTATTATGAGAACTTTTCTAAATACTTCTGAAATGTCACATACATTGAGGAAAATCTCTCCCCCCAAATTTGGTAGCTACTAGTGAAGAATTTATACCATCTTTTTCTGACCAGAAACATTTAATATACAGAGTGTTAAGTATATTAATTTTCCCATTACAGTATGTCTCCTGTCACTGATTATATTCTAGGATGTTGGCAAAGGATGAACTGATGACCATACTTCAGAAATGTTTCAAGGTTTTTAAGTCCTCTTCTGAAAAGCAGCTTGGGAGCACAGCAAAGAGAATAGAGGAGTTTCTGGCCCAGTTTCAGAGTCTTGATGGTGAGAATATAGCATCTTGCCAATTGTACTGGCTATGAAATTTAACTAAATAAAATAACATGGAAAACCCCATTTTCTGATGTTTGAGAGATAAAGAGATAAAGTAGTTCATGGGCAGTCAGCATACCAACCCTCAGAATATCATATCCTGACAATCACAAATAAGACAAGTGGTTCTCTTCCAGATTTGGATTGAACAATGAAGATCATCAAATGGTCAGGAAAAAAAATTCTTTCCAGATGGACAGCTTAGAGGACTTAAATTTACCTTAAAAAAAAAAAGAAATCAAAAAGATTGGAGAGAGTAGCAGGGCATCATAATTAAGGACTCCTTTTAGATGTTTTTTCTTAAGCATTTCATCAAGTTCTTTTAGATTTCAAAAACACTGCATAAATCATTTGTAAGCCTGAAGAATTAATAGCTGTGAACCACTTTCACAAAAATGAGGCTCATTGGTATGCTGATTACCAAAATATGCATGAGGTTTGCTTTAATCTGATTTATAAAAGCTATAATCTTTCAGTCCTAAATGAATGAGGCAGCCTGGCATTCCCATGTTGAGGTGTTGTAATTTCCTTGATTTTGCCTGACCGCCACACGGTCATTTATATTTGCTGAATGCTGCGATGCTTATTGTGTATAAGTAGCCATGTTATGATGCAGCAGGACTTCTCTGTGTTTTCCAGGGGCACCATGGATTGATACTGATCGTTAACTTTTCATGGGCTCTTCTCTTGCTCTCGTTCTAGCACTAAAGTATGGTATTCTTTTGGTAAAACAAACAAAAAGAGTATGGACCCTTTATTTTCCCCTACTTAGGGAAATTTTACTTTGGGAGGTTGAGGGAATGAGGCAGCGTGGTATGTAAGCACATAGATTGGACGTGGCATGATGAAAATACTTCACACTTGGAATGTCTGTCAATCCTTTCTACGTTTGGCAAGTGTTCCTTTGTCTTGAAAATCCTTTGGATTAAAGGAAACTGCTTTTGCTGAGATCCCTCCCTATCTGTCCACAGCTGCCATGCTAGGTCAGTGGAAGATGAAGAGAAAGTTTCCTTGGCTGGAGCGACATAAGCAGCCAGCACGAGGAAGTACAGTACTAAGAGGGTTCGCTTCAGGCTGTGTGTAGGCATTGCTCTTTTGCACTGTAGCATGAGCTGAACCATTTTTCAAATCATATTTTAAAGGACTGGAGATTAGTGTAGAAATCATTGAGTTCAGTTACAAACAGACTAAAGCCCAGGAAGAGAATGTACTTCCTCCAGATCCCACAGCTGGCTAGTGCTAGCACCCAGGCTCCAGCTCCCCTCTCATAAGCCAGCTCATTGCTTTTGTTCATTCATTCATAATTTAAATGCCCCTTAACTGTGGTTATTGGGACAGTGAGGGGACACCCTTAAGGACATAAATAAGGTAAAAGACTTAATATATATAAGTAGGTAAATTTCAATCTTTTAAAAAATTGGACTCAGTTTTTATTTTGTAAAATAAAACTTGATATTATAACAATTAACATAAGCTGGTGAAATAAATTGTGATATACTAAATAATAAAGGAATGCAGCTTTTTGCAATGGGAAGTTTGGAGATTAAGATGATTAACATTCTGAAGATAAAGAATTTTATGAGTTGAAGTAAAACCACTGTAAAAAAATATCTGTATTGTCTATTCTCAGAAGTGATACTCTGTTAATAATAAAGTAAAATTAACACCCCCCCTCCCCAACACACACACACATTAGACAAGTAGAGATATTTGACTATATGCTATCTCTGGTTCCTTAACTGTGTTTTATAGTCTGGGTTTAAAATTACATTTGTCAGATCAGGTTTTCAAGGCTCTGCTACGTGCTAATGAAATGGCACAAAGAATTTATTAGATTATTTAACCTTAAATTATATTTTTCTTGAATGAAGAATTATCCATAGCTAAGAAGAAATTTATTCTTTTAGAACAGTGCAGATTCTGCAGCCACATCCTCTTGTCTTAGATTTAGTCCAAATAAGCCATGTGAATGTGAAATTCCTAAAACCTGCCTTACACTAGGAAGAGGGTTGTTTTACAGCCTCATGCTCTCCAGAAGCACAACTACACCTTTCACCAGCGACAGTTTTCTGTTCCCTTTGGTGGACTTTATTTCCCGTGGAGTTCTAGAAATATTTGTTCTTTTGACTGGAATGGATTTACCCTAGTTGCTGTATATTGGTTTTATATTAAAAAGCAGAAGCCAAAGAAGAAGAAGATACTTCAGGGCTACAGTCAAAGGGGCTTCAGAAGACAGACCTTTATCATCTTCAGAAGGTAAATTTTCCTTCCAACTGCATCTTGCAACACTCCTTTTTTTAGTGTGTGCTCTAGATTAGCTCTGCCTGTGTTTTTGTTTTTATTTTTCATCCACAATCAGGAACAAAGCAGATTTTGTAACACACTTATAAATTGAACATCCTGTTTATCTGATCCACTGCCATCCTCATTCTCTATTTACAAAGTCTGGAATTTACTAGCCAACATAGGTGGAAACTGTTCCTTTAGGCTTAGAATAGGAATTAACCAGCAGTAAGGAAAAAATGGGAACATTTGTTGCAAAAAGGTATCTGATTATTTATCTGATGCATTTGACTTTTTGTTTGATCAAACAGAAATCCATAAGAACCTAACCCATTAATTTTAGGGACTTGACTTTTTAATGCATATTCAGTAGAGAGCAGGAACTGAGCCACAGTACACCCAACATAATCTTTGTCAGTTAATTCTAACTTTAGGATCTTGGTTGTCAAAGTAAAGAACATTCTTTGTATCATGATACCAAGTTATGATAAATGTAAACTTTCAATCAAAGCAAGGCAGAACACATTGAATTTATTCTCATGGCCAAAGTGTAAGGATTTTTTTCCTTCTACTTATAAGTCCTTTTCTTTTTTAAGAAAAAATTTTTTTAATTAATTAATTAATTTATTTATTTATTTAGGCGGGGGAGGGAGAGAGTGAGCGCACATGCACAAGCTAGGGAAGGGTGCAGAGAGAGAGGGAGACACAGAATCTGAAGCAGGCTCCAGGCTCTGAGCTGTCAGCGCAGAGCCTGATGTGGAGCTCGAACCCATAAACCATGGGATCATGACCGGAGCCAAAGTCGGCTGCTTAACCGACTGACACCCAGGCTCACCCCATATAAATCCTTTTCTTAAATGAACCAATGGGTTGTGGATTGTGAGTACTCTACCGTATAATAGCAATGAAGTGAACTGCTCTTTTTCTTTTTCCCTGAAATAAACTTGATATATATTTGAAGCAAAACACTTAGGAGGAGAGATTCTTTGCAGACCTTAAAAATAAAAAATAAATGCAACCCGCATTGATCTTGCTCTTTCTGTGCACATTCTGTCTGTGGACCTAGAGCTCCCCTCTGAGTTTTCTGTTGCAGAATCACCAGAAAAAATATGTTCTTTCATCCATAGTCCTTATTGGAAATGAAGGAATTAAGAAGAACCAGTAAGAAGCAGACCAGGTTTGAAGCACTCAGAGAAAAAGTTGTCAACTTCATTGACAGTCTGGTGAGGTGAGTCTGTTGCTCTTAAGAGCTAAAAATCAGGCTATTTTCCCAATAACACTGGGGTGATAGCTGTCCATAGCCAATCCAGGGCACTTTCTCCTAGATTAGGCTTTATGCTTTTCAGGCCCCTTCATCTAGCTTAGAATTGTAATTTTGATTCATTTTCCATCCTTATTAAGATGTCTCATCAAAGGACTAGTTCATTCCTTTACTGCCAGTTCAAGAACACAGATTTAAATTTGATCTATCTAGTTCATTAGGCTGGGGTTGGAGGAGTGGGGTGTGAAAATAGAAAGCTGAGTGTTTTTTACCCTAACAACAGAATGTTTGCATTGCACTGTATCCTTGCTCTGCCTGTGCTGGGAGTATGATGGGTCTAGGCCAAGCCCAGAAGACACAGCCAGCTAGCCATAATGCCCTCTTTTATCCAGAGTAAGGCACTTCTAATTCTAAAGAATACCAGTGCAACTTATTATCAGCACTAGATTCATGTTGAGAAATGTAATTTAGAAGTCCATTAGCCTATATTTTAAGATTATTTCTTTTTGGGAAACCCAGATCATTCTGATTCATAGATTTCCCAAAAGCCAATTTTATGTAGCTGTGTAGGATTTCCCACCTAAGCCGCCTTTCAGGCAATTGGGACATGCTATAAGGGGAAAAAAAAAAAAAAAAAAAAAGAGAAGTGTGAAAACTAAAATGATTTAATAGTTAAAAAATAGGAAAAAGCTGTTATTTATCATTGCTTATTCTGTTTTTTAATGGCAGTTCAAACAGCAGGCTAGGCACTGAATATAATCAAGTGCCAAAAAGAACAGCTCAGTTACTGAAGGCAGAGTAGTTTTCTGATAAATGACCTGTCCTTCTTCAAAGTGAAAAGTTCCATTTTCCAGGACAGTGTGGGAGCCATTGTTGCTAATCATTAGGGAGAAATTGCTAATGTCATGCAAGAGGTCCAAATGATCAACCAAGTGTGACAAAAGGTAGGTTAAAGTAAGAAATGTGTCATGTAAAAGTGATGCAATGCAACATCGAATTGACCTGCTGGCCGGAATTGACCTTTTAGAACTTTAGTTAACCTTGCCCTCCTGTTAACCTTGCGCTACTGGGCTTTCCTGTTCTGTAGTTTTTGCCCCAGGTTTCTGGCTCCTTTCCTTTACCAACCTGTGGCCATTGTTATTGCTAAAAAATGGGGTGTATTTTAACATAATTGTAGGCTAAGTGCCAGGTTCCTTTCTGAGTTCCTACAAATCCCAAATTGTAGGCTTTGAAATCAAACAGCTATTCCTCTTTTGTGATCTTTGACCTAATTATGTCTGACTTTTTACCTTTCTGAGCGGTTACCGAAATAAAGTTGAGCATGATTGAATTGTGCTGTGTTGTGAAATCACAAAATTATCCATACTAGGATTTACTGTCTTTATCAAAATTGACTATCCCAGGCAGGAAGAGATTAGGATTGTAGCATGTTAGAACTAAAAGGGACCTGAGGAGTCATGTGGCACCTAAAGCCCAGAGTGAAGCTAGGACTTCTGGATAGTCACACAGTCCTAGTCTACTGACATCCATCAAAAGTCCCTCTCCATTTCTCCATACAGTCTCCAAGGAGACCACATCACAGATGTTTGAACAGAGTTTGGAGTCCTGGAGAAAAGATGTTTGTTAAAGATAAACAATAGACTTTGAGAGACAGGGTTCTCAGTTTACCTTGAGCAGCTCTTGATGAAACTACTGAGAATTATAAGTACTACTTTCTAAGTTACTGTTTTCACCAGAATACAAACTTCAACTTTGTAGCCCTTGTTGACACTAAGTGGTCCTATCAGTTCCCACAAAACCACCTCTTTTGTTTGTGACCTCTGCTTCTCCCAGCAAATAAGCTGCAGAAGTATGCTTCTATGCTAATCTCCACATTTACAGTTGGACAGAAATCCTAATGTGTGATGATGTTTTGTCACTGTTGTTGTTCAACTAATGTAGCAGCCCAGTGTAAACAAAATACAGGCATATATTTTATTTTGCCTCTGATGGAGGTTCTTTGAGGGTATCCACATAGGCCTTTTGCCTTGGGAATTACCTGAATTTCTAAACATTAAATAAATATAAAGATGTTAAAAAGGGAGAGGAGTAAAAATGAAAAATGTGAGATAATAGTTTTTTTCTGAAACTGACTCTGTCTGGTTGCCTTGTTTGATTTCCAGTCCTCACTTCATAGCAGGGACTTCCAACAGGGTCTTTTAATGACAGTCATTATAATGATTGGGGAGAGACAGCCTGAGGTTGGTGCAGGAAGAGCTGATTACAAACTGGGTAGCCAGCCAGCTAGGGAGGCAGTTGATGTTACAAAACCTGTGCCAGAGGCTACAGCTAATTTAACCTTGAGTAAGAGGTTAGCAGTACTTAAGGTACAGAATGCTGATCCTTAGCGCCAATTCAAAATCCTAGACTTTGCCAGTGGGTTTTCTTCTGATGAACTCTGGGGAAGGAGCAGCATCTACAAGTGGAATGAGCAGGGGGCCAGGAGCTTTCTTAAGATGAGGAGAGGTGATGTGCATGGTTAATACCTCCATGTCCTCTTTTCCTTAAAGCTACTGACCACACAGGTGGAGCAGGTGTAGAGGGATTTTGTCCCAAGAGGGAAGACAGCCAGGACACGGGGAAGAAGAGGGTAATTTCTCTGGTGGCGAGGCTGAGGCAGCTGCTTTTTCTACCTGCACTTGGTGAACTGACACAAATCTGTCATGTGGCTAACATATTTAAAGCCCAGGACAGGACTAAGTCCCCTGAATCTTTATGAAGGCATGTGAATGAACTACTTTAAACAAGTTAGTAACTTACTACTCTTACCCTTGCGTTGTGTTTGACAAGGTTTCTCCCTTCCAATTTGCTACCCTCCAGGCCACTCAAGAGTGATGTCACCGTCAGGGCAAGCTGATAGGCTCATTAGACATTGAAAGTGAACTTTTTAATGCTTTATTTCCTAAGTTCAAATTTCATTAAAATTGGTTTGTCATCTAGCTCATAAATAAGAGAAAAAACACAAGTTTCAGTGGTTTTTCTAATTGAAATTTTAGTGATGAACAGTTGGCTTGTTTTCTAATATTCTGAAGCTAAAATTTAGCCTTTTCTGTCTTCGAAAGTAAAATTTAATTCTAACATATAAAAACCTCCCACGTATCATTTCTATGAAACTTCAAAAAATTTTCCATGTTCCCAAAAGAATTTCCTAACTTCTTAAATCCAGGTCTGTCTGAGGTCCGTGTTGTAAACCCTGCCAGGAGTTACAGGTCTGCTGTGGTAAGGAGTGTAGCTATCTTGGTTTTCTCAACAATTACTTCAAGAAAGTATTCTTTAATACTGTAAGGTATCATAAAGCTTTTGAGCAGAAATGTAACTTAGGTACATTTGTTCCTAAAGGTTTAAATCAGAACTGAAATACAGTTTCTTAAACTCTAATGAGTCTGAAAGTTTTAAAAAATATTGTATGAAAAAGGTACAATTCTGAGTGAACCTGTACTATTATATTTGGCTTTTGTTTCATTTGGTTTTGGTTCTTGATTTTGCTTTTTAAGTAAGTTGCTCAGTCTTCCAGAGGACTGACAAAATGTTACACTGAAAATAAACCTGTGCTTATCTAAAAGCAGATACCTACCTCCCTTTGGCTGTTTCAGAGAATACCTTCTGCCTCCAGAGACACAGCCTCTGCACGAGGTGATGTACTTCAGTGCTGCCCACACCCTGCGTGCGCACCTGAACGCTGCTCCCAGAATCGCCCTCCACACTGCACTCAACAATCCTTATTATTATCTCAAGGTAAAAAGCCTATTTGTTACTCTGAAAGTTTGATTCAGACCCCAGGCTTCATTTACCACAAAAATATTGTAAATTTGCAGTCCTAATAAATGGGGAGTTGGTAGCGCAGGATTATACCTCTTTTAGGTCTAAAAAAAGTCTTTAGACTTTAGAGGGCATTTTCTAAGCCAGTGAATAATGCTGCCAACTTTCGATTGTGTGTAATGATCTTCCCCTTCATGTGGTAAAATGCCAGATCACAGGCATGAAGACACCAGAGTATAATGTTACTACTCTTGTGAAAATAAATGTTTCCTACAGACATAACATCAGACCATGGATCAAACAGTATTTAAAATATCCAGATTGTTTCTGATATAAGAAATAGTTTGGGATTTTCAATCAAAGAAAGATCTACTCCGAGAGAGTATCTCAAGAGCTGAGTATAGAGGATGGCCAATAATCTGGCAGGGATGAAACTCCTAAAACCCAGACATATTTGCTAGCTCCAAGAAGCTTTTCTTGGGGCACCTGGATGGCACAGTTGGTTGAGCATCTGACTCTTGACATCTGCTGAGATCATGATGTCACAGTTTGTGGGATCAAGCCCTGCATTGGGCTCTGCACTGACAGCACGGAGCCTGCTTGGGATTCTCTCTCTCTGCTGCTCCCCTGCTCGAACACATGCTCTCTCACAAAAGAAACTTTAAAAAAAAAAAAAAAAAAAAAAAAAGCTGTTCTTTAAACAGAGTTCAGTACAGTTCAGAGTTTTAAAAACTTCAGATGAAGCCATCATTTTAAACATTTCAGTAAGTTTATGTATACATGAAATAATCTGTTGGCAATTTGCTAATACGTTCATTTGTTTTGAACTCAGCTAAACACCTAGAAATCTTGGCCCAAAAGATATTTAAGAAATGATTCCATAAAAATCTATGAAGAATGTTCCACTTTACTGGTTTTCTATTCCAAAATGGCACTCAAGCTAGCATGCTAAGCATTACAAGAGAATACTGAGTAGGAAGATAGAAATCAGTGGTTTTCAATGATGGTGGTAGTGGGGAGCTTGAATATTTCATATTTAAAGCACAAAATATTTTTACTATATAAAACACAAATTAAAATTTCTCTTCAGTGGTAGGTCACAGTAGAGATCTGGTATGATTTTAAGAGTCTTTGGGGAGGATATATTACAACCTCCATGTGTATGTATGTGTGAGAGATTGTCTCAGTAAGAACTATAGATTTCAAACAAGTTAAAAAAGATGGTTTTTGTAGGAGTTAGTTAGGATCTGCAGCGTTTGACAGCTTTTTGAGAAGTAACTTACAACTCTGGTAGTGGTATGTTGGTATTAATAGAGAATAATTATTGCTATAATTACAAGTGTTAGAAGTGGCATTTTATTGAAAATCCCAAGAAAGTCCATAAACTTTTTATGGAAAATAGAAATGCATTAGGGTCTCTGAAAATAATAATGTATGATTAAAATTGAAAAATTAATAATTGGATTAAAATGAAAAATACACTTGTTTTCTGATCCTGATTATTCTTCCAGTGACTAGGAGGTAAGGGGATGATGATGAAGACCTAATCCAAAACAAGAGCTAAGTAACTGTTAGTAAATGCAGCTCACTAAATAAAGGAAACCAAAGACTCCATGTACTGGCTTACTGAATTTAGTTTGAGGGTTCATTAATGGCTGCTTGTGTTCCTAATCATTTCTAAAAGGCAGACATCTTAGTTTACTGTTGTTTTTAGAATGAAGCACTGAAAAGTGAAGAAGGCTGCATTCCAAATGTCGCCCCGGACATCTGCATAGCATATAAACTGCACCTCGAGTGTAGCAGGCTAATCAACCTTGTGGACTGGTCAGAGGTAGGTCAGGGGGAAAAGAGCAAGCTGTATATTTGTCTCGCCATCCGTGACCATTCTCCTGGGGTTTTAATACTTTTGGTACTTTGGAACTCATCTTTCATTTTTTTAATGCCCTGTTCTTTTGTTTGGAAAGCGTAAATCCCCTCATATTGCAAAATCTCCTCCAGATAAGCAGGTCATTCAACGGTCCCACTCCAAGTCCCGTGCACTCTGATTCCACACCTCAACCGAGTGAATTTTGTGAGTGTGCCAGGTCAAAATAAGTATGTGACCTACCCCTACAGTTAACAGTAAGCAGGAGCTAAACAGTTTAGGTTGGTTTTGTTATTCCACAAAAGTGTATTATTAACTAGTGTTTCCCTTATCACATAAAACAAAAAAAATATTGGAATAGCTATACAACAGATGTAGAAATCAGGAAGTACAAGGAATGCTTGGGAAGGCAACCGACGACTGTTGTTACTAAGATAAATAACTTCTTTCCATCCTCAGAAGAACATTACAAAGTTAACTGTCAGAGGCCCTATTTAACAGATGTCACCGTTTAAAAATATGCATGATTGGCACCTTCTAAGAAGATTAGTTCTAAGAATCTGAAATTTGGTGCAATATTTTAAAAATGTGCCAGCTATCAGCAGCAGTACTTGACCTGGCTTCATACAGTCATCCAATGCAATAAAAGATACTTGGCAGTGATAGAGATTTTTATTTTCTTCTGTCTTGTCTCTCAAAAGGCTTTTGCAACAGTTGTGACAGCTGCTGAAAAAATGGATGCAAATTCTATAACCTCAGAAGAAAGGAATGAAATTATCCAGTATCCTTTTTTAAAAAGCCAGTTCTACAATGTCCAGGTTTACATGGCGTATAAGCCTATAGTTTCTCCAGACTTATTTTAGAGATTTATAAAGATGTGCCCCAGACAACATTATTTCTTGTTAATATTAACCATACCATCCCAGAATAACTTGTTTCTAAACACTTATTCCAAGTTTAAAATGAGACCAAATCCCAAACTTGTATCAAGGTCATACTCCCGAATTTAGCAAAAATGTCCCATAACTGTCATTGTAATTATGTTTTTCTAAGGTGATCAATGATGTACTATTAGAAGTTGAAGAGGAAGCAATTTTCAGACTAAGAAAAATTAGAATTAGGTAAGCTTTAAGCACTTTACCATTCATGTCTTGTCGACAGTGGATTCTAATTACATTTGATGTTTTCCAGTAAGGGTTACGGTTTAATTTAGGAATAGATATTTGAACTTTACTTCAGTTTAACAACTGATGTTTTAACATTGAGATTTTAACCTTTTTGTCAAAAAATATGGCAAATTTCCTTAGCCGCAGCCTCCAGTGCTCGATTTATTAGAGCTGTTTCCGAACTAGAACTTTTAGGATTTATAAAACCTACCAAACAGAAGACGGACCATGTGGCAAGGCTAACATGGGGAGGCTGCTAGAAAGCAAAAAGGACACCAGTCATATTTATAAACCACCATGAGACTGTTGGCGAGAAATGTATAATCCTTGTGTGATGCTTCACCACAAATAGACTGCTCACCCCAAACAGGAACATATCAGAATACCTTTGGAGTACTTTAGAATCCAACAAATGATATGCTTACATTTTAACTAAAACCTCTCGCACATTATCACTGCAGTTTTCAGTCATTTCTAAATTATAAATGTTCTTGAGCACACATAGTTTATAAATGTAATAAATTCCTTTATCCAGGAGTATATATTCTTTGCAGTTTGTTTAATAGTACTCATTACTGCTCCCTCAGTTTCTTGAACTGGCATTCCTCCCTTTAGTAAATTGTGTAGTAAGTAAAATGAATATTCTACAGGTTTACTTCTCCTAGTGACTAGAGGTTCTAAAACTGCCTCTGCTGCCCCATTTCCTTTAGTCTGAAAAAAATTTTAAATCCCAAGCTCTTTGGCTTTATGCTTAAATACAGTAAATATTCTACTTTAGAATGACCCATCATGGAGTTGTAGAGCCTGTAAGATCTTTACAAATCACATCTCAATCTTAGGATATCCAACTGAGGAAAGTAAAGTCCAAATAGAATGACATCTGGATCTCTTCCATAACAAGAACTCAAGACAGTGAAACAAAGCTACCCCGAGTTCATTATTTAATGTTCTACTCCCATGAGAGTTCTGGGACATATCTTTAAGAGTATTCACTTACCAAAATTACCATGATGATATGACCACAAGGGGGAAAAAAATCAAATTCAGTAGAAACTCGCTTGTTTCACAAACCTTAGTACGAAATATGTAATTATAGGCCTTTTTTGTGTGTGCTGAAGTCAACTTGAATGTAGAAGTAATTAAATTCTAACATAAAGACTTTTTTTTAATGTTTTTTGAGAGAGAGCACACACGTGCACACAAGCAGGGAGAGGGGTACAGAGAGGGAGAATCCTAAGCAGGCTGCGTGCTGTCAGCAAGGCTGATGTGGGGCTCCATCTCCTGAAGCAGGAGATCATGACCTGAGCTAAAATCAAGAGTTGGACACTTAACTGACTGAGCCACCCAGGTGTCCCTAATATAAAGAAATTTAATGGATAGCTTAAACCTCAATCCTGGAGTGTGTAAAGACATGTCATATAGTATAGAGTATCTTTGTCCTCTCAACATGATGGGCTGAAATGACATTATTGGGTAACTGCTCCCTTCCCCCTCTTTCTGCTCCAAAAACAAAAATGTTAGATGCACTAGATCTCAAAAACAAATTGTCAAAATGTTGCCAGGCTCTAAAACAATCCCAAGGTACCAGAAATAAAATCAAATGCATGCCAGAACAGAAAACATTTAGCCCTGTAGAGCTGTTAGAAAGACAATTATTAGAGTAGCATTACTCTGAGGTAAATGTCTTCTCATCATCTTAAAGATGCCAGGATTTCTCATGGAGTGGTAAACACATGTACATATGTGCACAAAGAGCTATCTACGTGGAAATTAAGGAATTTGTGATATGCAGACACAAACAGCACCACCATAAGGAAGAAACTGGACACATAGAGGCATTTGACGCTTTGGAATCCATAAAGGCAGAGCCTCTGTCAAATGCATATGATTAGAGCAAAGAATAAATTCCTGTTCTGTGAAGTCTCCGTGACTTACCTTCACAGCAACTAGCTCAGTATTTTTTTTTTCATTCCCCTCCAGTCAAATGTGCCTTCACCATGTGTTTCATTTTTGGTAACAGTTGGTAAAATCTAAGGAAGGGGAATGTATGGATAATTTTGAGGATTTTCCACCTATTGCCTATTTAAGCGAGGCAGTTGACAATGGGAAAAGTTTTCCAATATCCCATGTCTTGTTAAGATGAAGACACCATCAATATCTACAATGTGATTTCCTCCAGCTTTCAAATGGTGCCAGTGAGCACCAGAGAAAATTATGTTTAGAAATTATGAATTTCAAGGACACTCAGAGCAAATTGCTTATTATACTGTAAGGTACAGAGGAACTGGCCTCATACAGACAGGCTTACCTCTGAGGCACCCTGAGAAGTCGTAGCCCTGCTTTCGTTTTTCTTTTGTTGGGCATTTAGTTGAATTCATGCTACCTGAATGCGTATCATGCACTGAACCACTTTTCTTATTACCTACTTTAAAGAATAGGTCAGAGTAGCAAGACGGAAACTGTTGTTTTTATAGTGAATATCCAGAAAAGCTATGAAATTAAAGCTCATGAAGCTCATTAGTGGGATTTCTGGAGCATTAAGTGTCACCTCAGTTCCGCGTCCATTTCTTAATATAGTAAAACCAAAATACCAAAATGGGATATTCTGATTCATTACATCTTTGTTCAATGAAATACTACTCTGCAAACCCTGTAGTAGTTTGAAATTCATTAAAAAACTGTTTACTGAGTACATACCATACTCTAGGCACTGTTCCAGGCACTGTGATACTTCACTGAACAAAGATCTTTGCCCTCACTGCCCTCTAACAGAAGAACAGATAATTATATAGTTATGTGTTACAGAAAAAAAAAAAGAAAACCACAAAACCAGGATATCAAGCTGCAATTTTAAATAGTAGTCACGGCAGGTCTGAGAGGAGTTTTTGAACAAGTTGGTAAAAGATTCACCCCTGAAGTTTTATAGACGTGCACTGTTGGCAGAGAACAGCAGGAGTATACAAACTACATGGGAGGATCAGGAGGCAGCCAATGTGGGATAGGCAGGGTGAGCAGGCAAGAGACCAGAATTAAGGAAGGTGGGGTAGAATGCATGTAATTTAGGGCCCTGTAGACCACTGTAAAAGTCTTTGACTTTTACTTAGGGTAGGAAGCCATCTAAGTAAAAGATTTAGATCTTTAAATGATCACTGTGACTGCTATAGGAGACTGGGAGAGGTGGTAAGGAGACACAGATGAAGCAAAACAAAAACCACAAGACCACAATTGGGCAATCACTGACTAAGGAAGAGATGGTGAGACTGGAGACGGAACCAAGACTAGTAGATGGACTGTTTTTTGGCTGAGAAACTAGAATAGAGATGCCATTAACTGACTGGGAATGATGATTTGGAGGAAAAGTTTGAGAGGCAAAAATAAGGAGTTTGGTTTTAGACATAAGTTTTGAGACCTCTGTTAAACATCCAAGTGGAAATGCCTCCATAGACTAAGAATATAATATTTTTTAACATAATTTCCTACTTCTATCAAGGCAAGTAAGTTTCTTTAAAGTTTATTTTGAGGGAGAGGGAGAGAGTGTGAGCAGAGGAAAGGCAGAGAGAGAGGGAGAGAGAATCCCAAGCAAGCTCTGCACTTGTGATGTGGGGCTCAGACTCACGAACTGTGAGATCATGACCTGAGCCAAAACTAAGAGATGCTTAACTGTCTGGGCTACCTAGGAATGCAAGAGGTTAATACAATCTTATGTCTTTAGGATTAGATGTGGTCACCAAACGGAGTATGAACAGAGGTGGCAAGGAGCCCAAGGTTAAATCCTGGGGCATATGTATGTTTTAACATTTAGAAAAATGAAGACTGAGCCAGCAGGGAACAAGAAAAAAGTTATGTAGAACCAACTGAAACACTTTTCAAGGTCAAATGTTGATTAGATTTAGCACTGTGGAAATCACTGGTAGTTTAAATAGAGTAGTGGAGAAAAGTCTGACAGGCATCCTGTATCAAATGACCTAACAAAATGTCCAAACTTATCACTAGTCCTGGGAAAGCCAGCCATACATTGTGTGATGTAACATGAACACTACAGCAGCATCTTGTATTAAATAAAAACTTCAGGGATGCCAGAGTGGCTCAATTGGTTAAGCTTCCAGTTCATGGTTTCACTCAGGTCATGATCTCACAGTTCATGGGTTCAAGCTCTGCGTCGGGATCCATGCAGCCAGTGTGGAATCTGCTTGGGATTCCGTTCCCTCTCTCTCTGCCCCCTCTCCCCCTCCCCCTCCCTAAATAAACTTTAATTACTTTAGACCTAGCGTCCAGTTTACAGTTCAAAGTGATACAAAAGGTTAAATTAAATGACACTATGAAGAAACAGTCAAGAAGACAACAGGTCTAGTTGTTCCAGAAAGTCACAATCTTGATTTAATCCTGCTTTAGGGAGAAAAAAGAGCTGCAAACGATCTTTGGGGAACTAATGGGAAAATGTAACTATGGCCCGCGTGTTAAATTAGGGAAGTATTTTAAGTAGAACAATGGGATTAAAGTTCTGTATAGAAGAACCATCTTATTCTTAGGAGATAAATCATGTATGTGTTCTTTGAAAGTTAAAAACACACATATGAAAGAACTATGACAAGGTAATTTTTCACATTAAGTTGGTCACTTTCTATGAAATTTTCCTAATAGAAGTTGGTGAAAAGGGAGTAAAACTAGAAAACTCTTGACTTTTGCTGTAAAGGTGGTAGCAGAAAAAAGGGTAATAGCTGGAAGAAGGATCACAGGATCAAGATTTTTCTTTTAATGTTTATTTTGGAGAGTGAGAGAGCTGGTGCCAGCGTGAGCAGGGGAGGGGCAGAGAGAGAGAGAGAAAGAATTCCAAACAGGCTCCGAGCTGTCAGCTCAGAGCCCGATGTGGGGTTTGAACTCACAAACCATGAGATCATGATCTGAGCTGAAACCAAGAGTTGAGGCTTAAGTGAGCCACCCAGGCACCCTCATTTTTTTTAATAGCATATTTTGTGTGCTTTTGGGAATGATCTAGTAGAAAATGGATGCAGTAATAGAGAAGACTCATCTTTCGGTGAGACAGGTATTTGGATCTAATGCTCCTTACCTAAGGCAAGCACAGGAGCAGAGCATTGGAAAGCCTTGTCTAGCAACAGGCAAGGGACAAGCTATTAGGTGCTTTAGAAGATTTGCTTGTTAACACCAATTACTGTATACAGCAACCTAAGTACAGCACATACCAGTACTGCCTTTTAATAAAAGAATGACTGTTAGCACATATAATTCTGTAACTGTCTGTTAAAAAGCAATTTCAGGGATCTCTGGGAATTCAGAATCCCTAGGTAGCTATTACGATCTTTCTTACTAAGATCAAGTATGGTTGGTATTTGGACTAATCAACTACTGGATCCATCTAATTATAAGTAAATCCAAGAAGTTGCTTACATTTTTTATTTTCTGGCATTACCTCACACATTACTTAAAATCAGCAAGTAGCCCATAAGCCAGAACTTTTTGGTAAGGTAATAAGCAGAAATTTGGCTGTGGAAGAAATTTTATTCTTGATCCAACTTGAATGTAGAATTAAAACTGTTACTACTTGTGGCTCCATTCAGACTGCCAGTACTGATTTTCCTTGTAGTAGATCTTGCCTTCCAAGTTAAACCAGCTTTTATAAATTTAATTCTGTGTGAAAACTCACACATGCTTACTTTGTTAAGAGTGTTTATCCTTTTGCCCTTACTGGGGTTAAGAAGGGATAAAATCCACTCTACTCCCACTCCCCCTCCGTATTCCAACTTACTGTCTACATTCTCCTAGAAATGCCCACATACCTACCAGTGGTTCTCAGCTGGGGACTGTTTCTTTCCCTAGTCCCCAACATGTGGCAATATATCTGGAAGTACATTTTTGGTTCTTTCAGGTTGGGGGTTGGGGGTGTGCTACTGGCATCTAGTGGCAGAGGCCAGAGATGGCCTAAACATCCTGTGACATGTATGACTCCCACAACAGAGTGATCTGGCCCAAATTGTCAGTAGTGCTGAGTTTGACAATCTCATTAGGTCATTAAAACTAGGTAGCTATTAAAACTAGGTGGCCATAAATTAGGTGGATAATTTATGGCCACCCTGTGCTATACCAATGCTTCTCAACCATTTAACGGGCATTTGAATTATCTGAGGATCTTGTGAAAGCCCTTAAGCCCTGGCCTTGTTTAAACAAAAAATTGACGAGTTATAATCACCAAAATTAAAAAGGGGGGAAAAAAAAAAAAACTTCTCTTTGACTAATTAGGTCAATTATAAATATATATGCCCCAGTACATTTATGATTGGTTTAATTAGTGGAAATATGTTAAAAGAATTCAACAAAAGAAATCACTGAGCATTTTTTGCTCACTTCATTACAGCAAAGCTATGTTTGGAAAGGGAGTTAAATGTGATGAATCATGTTTTCATCTATCATCCTTTAAAAAAAAAAAACTTGGATTCTACTCTTATCTTGGAGGTAAAAATTCTACAGCTGTTAAAACTGATTATATAACATTCTAGAATGCAGTCAGTTATAAGCAACTTGGAATCAGAACTCAGTTTTTAAAAATAGCACTCAAATCTGAGATTATTTGGTGTATGAAAAGATTTTTAAATCTTATTGGAAAATTAATTTCATTGATTCCTGAAAAATGCTTACATTTAAAACACTGGCTTTATTCAAGTACTACCCATCTGTACATTAAAGCAGGTTAGAAGTAAATGTTTTATTCTTCCAACTAAATTCCAGTACTACAAGGGCAGTAAAACGACGACACACTGGGGAAAAAAATGCAGCAATAAACATTTGTTAAAACGATTGATAGAATAAATAAAAACTACCAAATTAAAAAAAAAAAAAAAAAGAAGAAGAAAGAAAACTTAAGAAAAGAAAAATCCATTCTGAAACCCCAAGAAGTCCTGGAATACAGAAATGCCCTCCCTCCTTCAATAATAATGTCCTGGGATTACATTCTAGGTTATTAATAACTGGTTACAGCTTGGTTGTAGTGCACAATTAAAATCACACTAACTTCATCTGAAGTGTCATTCTACAGTTTTATTTACACAACCAGTGAAGGGCATGTTCTTAGAATACCAGCTTTAATCCTTTCCAAACATATTAATATAAGAAGCCAAATTGTAATGATACAGCAAATGAGGCCACTGGCATTAATACAGGTAGCAAAGGTCCACATCCAGATGGTACTGACATCAGGGAAATATCCGAAACCAGTTGCTGCCTAAGAGTGGTTGCCACTGACGAAAGCTTGAGATAACCTGTATTCACAGGGGGGTATTGGCATTGCTGCATGTCATAATTAGGACCTCTTGCAACAACTCAACAAGGAACAAGGCAGCCCACAAATGCAGAAAACGTGATTCATGAAACATCTAAAAGGGGAGGAAAAGGAAAATTAGTGCAAAGTCCAGGTCAAAATTCAAAGACATTCCAGATCTTCATCCCCAACATCGTCCTAGGTATTTAAATAACCAACAAGTAAGCCTTAATAAAGTTTTGCCTATTTCCTCCAGCCTTTTTTGCTCCATGATTTTGTTAAATTCTCTTCTTGAGAATGTAGATAATTGTAATAAATGTCTTAAGAAATTATCTTGTTTTTAGTTCAAAGATGAAATACTTACAACTAGCAGGCTGTTCTCCATATCGTCGCATTATTTGATCATGCGTAAACTTCACAAATGCATCATATTGTTCTATAAATAAAGATACATATAAATTACACGACTTGCAAGATGTACTATTAGAGCCAGATAAACTGAAAAATCCAGTATGTATAGTGAAACAATTCTAAGTTGGCCCTTTGAATCAGACACATGACTTCAGTAATAATAATAATGTTATCAAATGGAAAGAATACAGAGTTTGGTCAGGAAACCTACATTTCAGTCCAAATTAAGTGACTTTTATGTATAGGCTGGGAAGCTTATTTCTTAACCTATTAAAAATAAAGGGCTTGAAATAAAAAGATCTTGCTGTGCTCTGAAAGTTTAGTAAGTGATCTTTGAATGGCAGTTTACTGCAATGAGGGGAAACAGGAAAACAGAAGCTTAACAAAATATATCCCAAAGCATCCACCTGTAACCTAATCAGATGTCACAGAAAAAGATGTCACATAACTAAGCAAATTTTCTTGCCTATATTAGCACCTTGATTTAACAACTTCAAAATAAAAAAGCTTATACTATCAACACCTAGTAAAATCTATGGCTTAAAAAATCAGGGAGGGGCGCCTGGGTGGCGCAGTCGGTTAAGCATCCGACTTCAGCCAGGTCACGATCTCGCGGTCCGTGAGTTCGAGCCCCGCGTCGGGCTCTGGGCTGATGGCTCGGAGCCTGGAGCCTGTTTCCGATTCTGTGTCTCCCTCTCTCTCTGCCCCTCCCCCGTTCATGCTCTGTCTGTCTCTGTCCCAAAAATAAATAAATGTTAAAAAAAAATTAAAAAAAAAAAAAATCAGGGAAATCCTGATTAAGTTACCATACACAATAGTGGAAAAGTTATCACGAAAGATGTAGTCTAAAAATCCAAAACCAAAGTCAGGTAAACAGCCGAAATCAAGTTTTCAGCACAGGAAAACCAAAAAAATCTAGTTCCCATTGATACTACTGCTGATCTACATGGCTAACTTAATACTATTTCTTGAGGTCACTAAGGAAGGCCATGAGCTACAGGAAGGTTCACTTCCTTTCCTGAACTGAAATTCTCTGGTTCTTAGAAAATACTGTAACCAGTGGATACACAGGGTAAGTTAATTGACGTGAAGGATACATGGGAAATAATACATTTCTTACAGTTGAGTTTCTGGGAGATCTAAAGTAAGCTCATTGCATACCTGCAAGTTTTGTGTTCAATATTTCTTCATACTCTTCTCGAACTTTCTCTTCACGTTCTTTCAACAAACGTTCACAGATCATCCCAACCTGCCGTAGAGTGAATAAGGGCTGTTCTTTTTTTAATGGCGAGGACGTTGCAGATGAAGTCCCTATGTATAACATGAACAAAAGCACATGATTTAGAGCCATCGTGAAGAGACTGCTGCAAGTATTGAAAATAGCACTCAAATCTTAAATTATTTGGTATATGAAAAGATTTTTAATTCTTATCAGAACTTCACTGATTCCTGGAAAATACTTCTATTTAAAACACAGGCTTTGACTACTACCCATCTAGGCATTAAAGCGCTGCAAGTATTTTATACACCCTCAAATACACAGATTTCCTATCAGTTGTTTGTCCTGCTGTGTATGTCTGTCTCTAGTACTCCCAATTCCTCGTTTCACTTGCTTTTCTGTAAACTGCATGGTTGGGACCAGTTAACTAATTATCCTCGTTAGAGCTGTGATTGTTAGAGCTGTGTCTATCACAAGATTAAAGTATGCCAGCTTTAATCCGTAACCATGAAGGGCTATCTTTACTTTCAAATTCCTAGTTTTTAGTTGAGGCTGCCACTTAATTGATCTTCTAGGTAAATTGACTAAATGAATGATGATGAACTTGGTTCCTGCTGATTTAAGTCTAGTCTCTACCCTTAACCTCCCCTTACAACATTTCACTCACACACTGGCACTCCACACCCAACTGGCAGGAGCACTGTGGAATTTAGTTTTGAACAATTTTGTTTCCTAATCTATTTTTATTTGACTATTTTATAGACTTTGATTTTTTTTTTTTTTTTTTTTTAAGGAAACTATCCCCCAAGCCCATGGGGCTTGAACTTACAACTCTGAGGTCAGGGGTTGAATGCACTACCTACTGAGCCCCTGAATGTTTTCTTTTATTCTGCCAGGTTTTCTTATCCCTGCTGGTAGGGAAGAGAAGGAAGGCAACTACCATCACAAGAAAAACTATTTTGCTGAGAACTTTACTAAACATTAAGAGCCACCTTCCACCTTTGGGAATCTACCCTGATAGGATATATGTACATGGAAATTTTTTAAGTACTATAATACCAAATTCAGTCTAATTATCTTCATTAATGGTTAAATTATGGGAAATCCATAAAATGGCAAAGTATTAAACTGTGGCCAAGGTACATCTATACTTAACAGAGAGATACATGGTATGTTATTTATTTATTTTTTCTTAACAAAGGCTACAAATCACATCACTTATGGGAAAGTCCACTTAGGGGATTTTATATCAAGGTGGTTGTCTCTGGGTAGTGGGAATCCAGGGAGCAAGTACTTACTTTGTACCATGTTTTAAGAGATCACACATTACTTGTATAAATTTCTTTTTTTAAATCAAAGGCGAGAAAAGACAAGCTTGAGTCACCATACTAAATAACATTTCCTTTCACTTTAAGTTTATTATTACCTGGTGAAGCTGGTCCACTGAGGAGAAATGCATGTGGTTGTGCCTCTGAAGTACAACATGGATCTGTCTGTTGAAAACTAGTTTCTAAATGTCTTCTCTTCTGCATGCGTTTATACTCTTGTTTTATGTTGTACAGAATTTGTTCTAGAGAAGAAAAATGACCAGATAAAAACCATGAAGTTAAAAAAAAAAACAAAAAACGCGTGGGTTTTCAACAATTACTTGGTACAACCAATCTACTGAAAATATTCTCTTCAAGTAATATCCAGAAGACTGATGTTCTGGAGGAATTCATTTAAGCATTAATAGGGGCAACTTATTCAGAAACAGCACATACACACCACCTGGAATTTAGCTATTCTACAATACGATTTCTTCTGAGCACCAATTATCAAAAGATAACTTAAAAGTTTTTCATTCAATGTAAAGATAAGGGCATCTTATGAACTTTTAGTTCACTTTAGTTTACTCAGACTCTTAAAAATCCCAAATTCAAAGGCCACCTTATTCATCACAACAGAACTATTAATATTAAGCAGGCTTTTCCAAGACCATAAATAATTAGAAGTGGGGAGCACTATGTATATACAAGCACACCCCAGTGAGAATTGACAAAATGATAGAATGAAGGAGAAAACTAAAAAAAAAAAAAAAAAATCCTAAATGGTCATGGCCATTAATATTAAGCTCAACAGAACCTAAGAATATTATAACATTAACAGCAAAAAGTGTTGGGGGTAAAAGCCCATGTAATGTGATTGGTACAGAACAGGTACTCAATAGTAAACCACCATACCAGCGTACCATTATCTTCAACCACAACCATCCAAACGGGTAAAATCCTATCAAGCTTATCCTTTATGCCAGTATGGTTCATTTTATAAAGATTTCTAATTCAAAATAGCCTCTCTAGAAAATATTTCCCTGAGGTTTCCATTTCCCTCAAAACACTTTCTCACAATCATCATAGCTCCTAGATAGATTATCCATGTGAAAAGCCACACCCTAAATTTGTTAATCCCAATCCAAAACAAAATTAAACAAAAGATGGCAATTAGGCATTAAAATGATTTATAAATATATCAGAATGTAACTTTAGCAATCAAGTCTACAATGATGTGTTAATTTAAAAATGAACTGAAAAGTTGATTGAAGGCTAAAGATTTACATGAGAACAATCTTTTTAAAAAAAATTAATACTGGTGGTTTTCTCAGGTATGTATTTAATTCTCCTCTTTCCTGGCGTTATGTTGTTTCTCTAGTAAGAACTTTTAGGGCTTTTGAGAGAGAAGACCCTGAGCGGACATTAATCAGTCGCTTATTTTATTTTTTCTCCTTAAACATTTTAGATTCTGCCACTTTCATTATTTTAACGGGGAAAAAAAAGCTGCAGAAAGACATATCCAGTGAAGAAGATTCCATTTATGTAAATTTTGTGGTGTAAACAAATATGTTACATATACATGAATGTGCAGCTTAAGTACAGAATCACACATTGGAATGATTTAACTTTAGGACGGCTGTATTAAGAGGTACTTTATCTGTAACATTTTTCAGAATCTTAACATTTGTCTATATTAAACATGGTCATTTTCAGCCCTTTTCCACTTATTTGAAATAGTCTGTAATTTAAAAATGAATTTACCAGTGTGAAATAAAATGGCTATCTACTAAACAGTTAATAAGCACCTTGATAGAAATGGGTTTCCTAAGATTCATAGAGGGGTCCAACAAAACTACTGCAACTTCCTATACCAACCAGGACAAACAGATAGCTTTATTATTATTTTTTTTTAATAACAGAACTCTTTAGTAGCAATATTCTAAAAAGTGTTCAAAGTAATGATGTTTTGGTCTCTGATGGACATCAAGCCTCCCTCATTTATCACTTTCTGATCAAAGCTACCACCATTCTGATAAAAAGTGCCATTTAAAGCATCCTAAAGTTTATTCACAACCAAAGATTTCAAATGTACAAGTTACAAGAGTAACTTGTCCACAACATCTTTTGTGTGACTTATTTTTTGATTACCACAACTGTTCTCAAGATCATAGTCTTGCTTCTTCACAAAATCAGAGCACAACTAAGATGTATCAAAATAATAGTAACAAACTCAAATTTGTTCATTAGGCTATATAGATCTAGCCTGGGATTAAGATACAGTAAAACTTCTTAAAATTTAGCTTTGTAAACCTCCATACCATCTAATACTTAAGAAACAGAACAAGCTAAAGAATTTTAAGGTATAATTTACAAAATGAATTCACCAATTTAAATGTACATTTTGATGACTTCTAACATATGCAAATGAAACAAACAGGTCTTGGAACCACCACAATCATAATGAAGAACTTTATCACTCCACAAAGTTCTCTCACGCTCCTGTTCACCACCTTCACCTTCATTACCACAATATTCATCTACTTTCACTATTTGAAATTTTTTTGCCGTTTTGAAAATTTCATATAAATGGAATCATAGAAAGTGTAGATTTTTGTGTCTGACTTCTCTCACTCAGCAAAATGCTTTTGAGATTCATAAATAATTAAGCCCTTTTTATTAATTAGTACTCCATGGTGTGTATCTGTACACACACACCTTATCCAGTCTCCTTTTAATGGATATTTAGATTGCTTCCAATTTGGGGCTATTATGACTAAGGCTATTATATTCAAGTACAAGGCTACAGGTGTAAAAATTTTCATTTCTCATGGATAAATAACCTAGAAGAGGAACAGGATGGCCTGATTATATGATAAGTGCATGGCTTTACTTTGTAAGAAGCTGCCAAACCATTTTCCACAATACCATCTTACACTCCCACCAGCAATGTATGAGGGTGTTCCTTTGCCAACATCTTTGCCAACACTTGATACTGGCAGTTAAAGAACTGAAGAAAAAAAGCCTACAGTGCTTTTCTTTATGTCGAATATAAGGCAACTGTGTCATCTAAGCCTCACTGTGCTCATAAATGCTCTAATACTGGTAACATGTAATCAACAATGTTATGGCAGTGTTAAATGTTATGGCCAATTTAACTTGACCAAGATCTCAGCTAACTGTAAGCCTCAAACTCATTTACCTCAGTTCGGATAGGCATACAGTTTTAAAGCTGTTAACTCAAGAAATTTACCCAGATTCAATTTCCACAACACATTCTAAGCTCAACCTAGGTACCTGGCCGACTGAAGTTGCTTCCACACCAGTTGGATAAAGGTCTTCCACACATCAATAAAGTTCCTAGGTCTACTTAAACTACTTAAATCTAGCCATCTCTAATCAAACTGGCAAGTGCCATTTTATCCCAAGTTCATGTAACATCTAACATCATGTTGCCAACACAATTTATGGTACATAAGGAAAAGTGAAATGAAACTTCTAACATTATCATTTGAACATTCCAGTTTTAATGCAGGCTTCATATCTGGCTTATGGAAGCATCGATTGAATTTGCAGCAAATCACCTAGAGCAAAATACACTTATCTTCATAACAAACTACACCACAAAACGGTTATATCCCTTTTCAAAAATCCTAAAAACTACATTACTCTTTTACCACAAAATACTAAGGCTTCCACTGCACTATGTATAAGTGAAAGTCAAAGTATTAGCAAATTCTGTGATTAATGGCATTTTCATTCCCATATCTAGTAAATGACATTAAAATTGCCAGTAAAATTCTCCTCCTTAACAGGTGGGATATTATCAATGATTAATATTCCAAAGGAATATTAAAAAAAAAGAAAACAAAGAACAACTGGATAAATGTTAAAAAGAAAAAGCCTGGCTTGTGGCAACATTAAGCCTGCTCCCAAACTGTTTTATTACTCTTAGTTGCCACTGATTACTTAAGAAAGCCTGGACACAATACAGTCAGCAATATAAACAGAAGAAAGTGGTTGTAGGGATTAAAAAATAAGTTAACAAGGATAAGAGAAACAGCAACAAGATGGAACTGAGAGCAAAGGGAGGAATATAGAATTAGAAGCAACTACAAATGTCTTTCTAGATAAAGTATAGTCCATAAGATGTCTAAAGATCTGTGACATGTGAAACTTTTGCTCCAGACCTGCATAGACTTGCCATTTTCCTACTGACGTAATTACTAAATCAAACATTAACAGGTCTCATTAAGTTTTAGGTTTAGGTGTATAAGACCTTTTTTGTACCACCTTCCATTCCAGTTTCTCTTTGGAGTATCTTTGAAAAAATAAAGTGAAATTTCATCTAGACAGATAAATAATGGGATTAAAAATAAAACAAATCTTGGGGCGCCTGGGTGGCTCAGTCAGTTAAGCGTCCGACTTCAGCCAGGTCACGATCTCGCGGTCCGTGAGTTAGAGCCCCGCGTCGGGCTCTGGGCTGATGGCTCAGAGCCTGGAGCCTGCTTCCGATTCTGTGTCTCCCTCTCTCTCTGACCCTCCCCCGTTCATGCTCTGTCTCTCTCTGTCTCAAAAATAAATAAACGTTAATAAAAAAAAAAATTATGGGGCGCCTGGGTGGCGCAGTCGGTTAAGCATCCGACTTCAGCCAGGTCACGATCTCGCGGTCCGTGAGTTCGAGCCCCGCGTCGGGCTCTGGGCTGATGGCTCAGAGCCTGGAGCCTGTTTCCGATTCTGTGTGTCCCTCTCTCTCTGCCCCTCCCCCGTTCATGCTCTGTCTCTCTCTGTCCCAAAAATAAATAAACGTTGAAAAAAAAAAAAAAAGATTGTTAAAAAAAAAAAATTATAAAAATAAAAAAATAAAACAAATCTTGAAAGCTTGTTAGTTTTAGGCAGGAACACAAATTAAGTACAGAAAACCTGCAGTAGCTGATAAGGCCTAAAAATAAGGAACTGTTTCCAAATAAAATAACAAACCAAATCTAGAGCACTCAACTACATACTAGACATTGCCATCTCCTTTATAAATTAAAACATACACAATTAAGAGTTGTAATGGAGGTCCATTTTAATAAATAAATTACTTTCCCAGGATATTTGCCCAGAAACTAAAACAGTTCTTATGTTCTCCTTGAAGGAATCTTAAGCACAATATTCTTACTCAGACAAGAGCTATCTAACTGAAAAGAATGAGTTGATGCCATTTTTAATTTACTTTAAAATTACTACATCAAAGGGACACGGAACCAAATTTTAACAC